GCAATTTTCGAATTTTACGATTTTTGAATATTCAAAAATTTTCGTTTTTACTGTTTTTCGATTTCTCGAGTTTTCAATTTTTCAATAATTCCACTTTTCCTAAATTTAAATGTTCAATTTTTGAATATTTCGAGTTTTAGTTTCTGCCTTTTTAAATCTTGTTTCTTCAAATTTTCGATTTTTAACTCCAGAATTTCTTAATTTTTCCACGTTTCAATTAACACTTTTGGATATTTCAATTTTTAGATTTTTTAATTTTTAAAGTTTTTTGTTTTACAATTTTGTAATTTTTCGATTTCTCAATCACTGGATTTTCCAGTTTTTCGAAATTTTTTATTTTTCAATTTTTCAGTTTTTCGATTTGTTAGTATTTCCACTTTTCAATTTTTTTGTCTTTCGGTTTCTATTTTGCATTTTTTGCATTTTACGATTTTTGAAATCATCAATTGATAATTTTTTAATTTTCAATTTTTCGATTTTTCAATTTCTCAATTAGAATTTTTTAATTTTTCAATAATACTTCAATTTTTTGATTTTTATTTTGCAGTTTCTGATTTCATAATTTTTCGATGAATACATTTTTTGTTTTTTAATCTTTCAATTTTTCAATTTTTATGAGTTTACAATGTGACAATTATTCTATTTTTCCATTTTTAAATTCTTCGATTTTTCAATTTCAATTTTTCCATTTTCCGGTTTTTCATTTAATTCCATTTTTTGATTTTTCTGTTTTTCAATTTTTGTTTCGCAATTTTCGGATTTTACAATTTTTGAATATTTTTAAATTTTCGTTTTTACTGTTTTTCGATTACACGATTTTTCAATTTTTCAATAATTCCATTTTTCGATTTATGTTTCTTAAATTTAAATTTTCAATTTCTCAATATTTTGAGTTTTAGTTTCTCCCTTTTTCAAATTTTGGTTCTTCAATTTTTCGATTTTTAATCTTAGAATTTTTTAAATGTTTCAATGCTTTAAATTTTTGATTATTCAATTTCTAAATTTTTCAGTTTTTTGCGTTTTCATTGTTACAATTTTGCAATATTTCTATTTATCGATTTTCCAGCTTTTCGATTTTAAGTTTTTCAGTTTTTCGATTTAGAATTTTTCGATTTAGAATATTTCGATTTTTCAATTTTTGAAACTTTTCACATTTTCAGTCTTTTAATTTCTCAGTTTCAAAATTTTCAATTTTTCGTTTTTTAGTTTACAACTTTTCAATTCTTTAATAAATTATTTCAATTTTCAATTTTTCAACTTTTCAATTTTTCGATTTTTATAATTCTTATAATGTTGCAATTTTTAAATTCTCCAATTTTTCTCTTTTTTAATGTTTCGATTTTTCCGATTTTTCAATAATTTCATTTTTCAGTTTTTCAGTTCTTGGACTTTTGTTTTTCCATTTAAATTTTCGTTTCGAGTTTTAGTTTTTCCCCTTTTTCAAATCTCGTTTCTTCAATTGTTCGATTTTTAACTTTAAAATTTTATGTTTCAATTTTACAATTTTTAGATTTTTCAATTGTATTATTGTCAGTTTCTGAATTACCCAATTTTTCAATTTCCTAATTTAAAATTTTTCAATTTTTCGATCTTCAGGTTTTCAATTTTTCAGTTTTTAATTTTTAAATTCGACTCCTTAGTTTGTCGAATATTTTAGTTTGCAATTTTTGATTTCGAATTTTTTCGATTTGGAATGTTTCGAATTTTTCAATGATTACATTTTTTAGTTTTCAATTCTTCAATGTTTAAACTCTTCACATTTTCAGTCTTTTAATTTCTCAGTTTCAAAATTTTCAATTTTTCGCTTTTTAGTTTGCAATTTTTCAATTTTTGTTTCTTTAATTCTTATTCCATTTTTTCCATTTTTCAGTTTTTTCGATTCTTATTTTGCAATCCTTGATTTCGCAAATTTTCAGTGAATAGATTTTTTGCTTTTGAATTTTTCAACTTTTCAATTTTTATAATTGTGCAATGTTGTAATTTTTCGATTTTTCATTTTTTAAATATTTCAATTTTTTCGTTTTTAAATTTTTGAGTTTTCCGAATTTTCAATAATTCCAATTTTCGATTTTTCAATTTTTGTTTTTGTTTTGGTTTTCGATTAAGAATTTTTCTAAAATTTTCGAATTTTTCAATGATAGTTTTTTCGATTTTTCAGTTTTTGGAATTTTTACTTTTACAATTTTGTATTTTTTTTTATTTTCGAATCACCCGATTTTTCAATTTCTGGATATACAATTATTTGATTTTTCAATTTTTAGTTTTTCAACTTTCCAATTTTTCGTTTTTCCAATTACATACTCCATTTTTTAGTTTTTTTAGTTTTTCGATTTTTATTTTGCAATTTTTGATTTCGCAATTTTTCGAATTTTTCAATGATTAGATTTTTCCTTTTCAATTTTTCGATTTTTCAATTTTTTGATTTTTTAAATATGCCTTTTCAATATTTAAGTTTTTCGATTTTTATTTTACAATCCTTGAAAATGCAATTTTTTAGAATAGATTTAATCTTTTTCAATTTTTTGTATTTTATGATTCCAAATTTCTAAATTTCTTAGTTTAAAATTTTTCAATTTTTCGACTTTCAGTTTTCAGTTATTTTTTCAGTTTTCAGTTATTTTTTGATTTTTTAGTGTTCTATTTTTGATATTTTAGTTTTTCGGTTTTTACTTTGCAATCCTTGATTTTGCAATTTTTTCAGTGATTAGAATTTTTCGATTTTTCAATTTTTAAATTCTTCAATTCTACGTTTTTTGATTTTTTGTTTTTTCAATAATTTAATTTTTCGATTTTTCGTTTAATCGATTTTTGTTTCTTAAATTTAAATTTTGGATTTTTCAATACTTCGAGTTTTAGTTTCTCGCTTTTTCAAATTTTGTTTCTTCAAGTTTTAGATTTTTTAATTGTACCAAAACACTTTTTCGACTTTTCAATTTCTAGTTTTTTTAATTTTTAGAGTTTTCGATTTTTCAATTATTCGATTTTCTAGTTTCTCGATTTAAAATTTTTGATTTTATAATTTTTCAGTTTTTCTTTTCAATTTTTTAATTTTTACGGTTTCTATTTTGCATTTTTTGGATTTGACAATTTTTATGTTTTAATTTTTGGTTTCTCGATTTTTCAATTTGTCAGTTAAAATTTTCCAATTTTTTAATAATTCTTCAATTTTTTGACTTTTATTTTGTAGTTTCTGATTTCGTAATTTTTCAATGATTAAATTTTTTGTTTTTTAGTTTTTCAATTTTCCGATTTTTATAAGTTTACAATGTGGTAATTATTCGATTTTTCGATTTTTAAATTCTTCGATTTTTCATTAATTCCGTTTTTTGATTTTTCGGTTTTTTAAATTTTCTTTCACAATTTTTGGATTTTACAATTTTGAATATTTTTAAATTTTCGTTTTTACCGTTTTTCGAGTTCTAGATTTTTCAATTTTTCAAAAACTCCATTTTTCAATTTTTGTTTCTTAAATTTAAATTTTCGACTTTTCAATATTTCAAGTTTTAGTTTCCCTGTTTTTCAAATTTTGTTTCTTCAATTTTTCGATTTTTATTTTTAGAATTTTTTAATTGTACTAAAACGTAATAACATTTTTCGACTTTTCAATTTCTAATTTTTTAATTTTTGGAGTTTTCAGTTTAACAATTTTGTAATTTTTCGATTTCTCAATCACTCGATTTTCCGGTTTTTCGAAATTTTTGATTTTTCGGTTTCTATTTTGCAGTTTTGGATTTTACAATTTTTATGTTTTAAATTTTCGTTTTTTCGATTTTCTGATTTTTTAAATTACCAATTTTTAGTTTTTAATTTTCAGTTTTTCGATATTTAAATTTCTCAACTAAAATTTTTCAATTTTTCAATAATACATACTTCAATTTTTTTACTTTTATTTTGCAATTTCTGATTTCGTAATTTTTCAATGATTAAATTTTTTGTTTTTTAATTTTTCAATTTTTCGATTTCTTTGAGTTCACAATGTGGCAATTATTCGATTTTTCCATTTTTTCATTAATTCCATTTTTTGATTTTTCAGTTTTGCTATTTTTACTGTTTTTCGATTTCTCGAGTTTTCAATTTTTCAATATATTGAGTTTTAGTTTCTCCATTTTTCAAATTTTGTTTCTTCAAATTTTCGATTTTTAACTTCAGAAGTTTTTAATTTTTCTATGTTTCAATGTAATACTTTTGGATTCTTCAGTTTTTAGATTTTTTAATTTGTACAGTTTTTAGTTTTACAATTTTGTAATTTTTCCATTTCTCAATCACTCTATTTTTCGAACGTTCACTAAAATTTTTTGTTTTTTCAGTTTCCAAACTTAAATTGTTTAATTTTTCAATAATCCTTAAGTATTTTGATATTTTTTTTCCAGCTTTTGATTTTTAGTTTTTCTATTTTCCGATTTTTCAATATTTTGCAATTTTTTGATTTTATGAATTTTGGATATATGTATTTCAAATTTTCGGTTTTTCAATTTTTCAATTGACCCATTTTCAGTTTTTCGATTTTGCAGTTTTTCGATTTTTAAATTTTACAATTATGCAATTTTTCGATTTTCAAGTTTTTAAAATTAAAAAAAAATATTCAAACTAAAATTTTAAAAAATTATAAAATCGAAAAACTGAAAAGCTATTAAACGAAAGACGGAATAATTGAAAAATCGGACCCTAAAAAACTGAGAAATCGTAAAATCAAAAATAAACATGATAAAGCAATAATAATCGAATTTGTGCCAATTTGAATTTGGCGCTGGTTGTAATAGGTTGGCACCCATTTTTTTTTTCAATTGTTTCTCCTATTCAAGCAATCACTACTTTTTCCGTATAACTTGGCCTTATTACCAAAAAACTGGTTAGAATAGGTTAGAAAACTGGATAATAACAGGTCATGATCCTGAAATTCGATTCTAATTTAAACAGTTCTTCCTTTGAAAACTTGTTTCTGCATCTAGGCAGATAAATTCTGAGCTATTCTCCCCAATATATATTTTATCCAGTTATTTATAAAGACTTCCATAAAGCCCAATTTTATCCCCATTTAAGTCAAAGTGACACCTGTCACCGTACAATGCTCCAAATCCCCTCACCGCTCCCATGGGTCTCTCTATCTCCGGCTTATTCCACAAACTCTTCTCCAAGAAGCAACTGCGCATCCTCATGGTGGGCCTCGACGGCGCCGGCAAAACCACCATCCTCTACAAACTGAAATTCGGCCAAGTCGTCACCACCATCCCCACCATCGGCTTCAACGTGGAGATGGTCGAGTACAAGAACATCACCTTCACCGTCTGGGACGTGGGCGGCCAGGACAAACTGCGCCGCCTCTGGCGACACTACTTCCAGCACACCCAGGGCATCATCTTCGTCGTGGACACCAGCGACCGCGAGCGCATCGACGAGGCCGGCAAGGAGCTGCAGAACCTCATGGTGGAGTACGAGCTCCAGAGCGCAGTCCTGCTCGTCCTGGCCAACAAGCAGGACCTGCCGGTGTCCATGACGGCGGCGGAGATCGCCGAGAGGTTGCAGCTCGACGGCTTACGAGGGCGCAAGTGGCACATTCAGGGCATTTGCGCGCTCAAGGGCAATGGGTTGTACGAGGGGTTCGAATGGCTGTCGCGGGAGTTGCTTTAGTTGCTTTAGGGGTTGTTATCGGCTGCTGCTCGAGGTCGTTGCGGGAGGGTGGTCGGGGGTGGCTACTTACCTTAAGAGTCTTGTTATGTAGTCGGGCCAGTTGTCGGGGAACATGACGAGGAAAAATCCTACGGCGATCAAGATCATCCCTGCCAGTTTCATCCCTTCGAAGTTAGCACCATATAACACTACGTCCAGTGCTAGAAACAGTCGAGTGTACTTAACGTGTTTAGCGGCAATAAATCTAATTTATGGGTGTTATTTTACGAGGGTTTGGTGTCAATGTTACCATAATGTGAGTGAGAGGCATTTTTGGGTGGATGATGATATTTGTTTTTAAAGAGAAGGTAAATAATAATAATGGAGATTAAAAAAAAACTTGTAAATTTATTCAATTTTGAAAAACGGGTGTGTCAATTCATGAAAATTTCGAAAACAGTTAAATTTTTCGTTAAAATTTTTGTTTCTTTGTTTTGAAAAATGTCAAAAAAGAGTACATTTTTATGAAATTCTAGCACATTAAAAATTTGAAATGTAATATAAGTAATGTAATGAACAGAAAAACAGAGAACTCATCCGACAACATTGTTTAGGGAGATATTTGGTGCCAAGTCTTCTGTAAAAAAAATTGGGGTTAGGATGATTATGATTTTTATTCAAAACACGTTGTTTTTGTTTATTTTATTTTGACATTTTTGTTCTGAACTTTCAAATTTCAAGTTTTTTGTATTACCAACTTGGCAGTGCAAAAATAAGCCCTAAAGGAGTTATATTTGGTACCAACTGAATTCATTGATGATGTTTTTTTAATTTTTCAATAGTCCCTACAAGAAAAATGTAAAAAAACTACATTTCTTTGAAAATCCAGCATATTTAAAAATTTGAAGTGACAATCTAGATATGGATATCCCAGATATTTTAGAGTTTCCATGTTTTCTGGATTTTCTGAATTTTCTGGATCTCTGGATTTTTTGGATGTCTTTTAATTTGTTGAATTTTTCTGATTTTTTGATTTTTTCATTTGAATTTTTTGCAATTTTTGAATTTTCTGGACTTTCTAGATTTTCCAGATTTCTCCGATTTTCTAGATTTTCAAAATTTTACAGATTTTTCAGATTTTCTGTATTTTCCATATTTCCTCGATTTTTAAGATTTTCCAGATTTTTCAGAGATTTTTTAAATTTTGTGGATTTTCTAGATTTTTTTATTTTCTGGTTTTTCAAGATTTTCCAGATTGACAGATTCCCTGGATTATCTGGTTATTCCAGATTTTCCAGAATTGTCAGATTTTCTGGATTTTCCAAATTTTCTAAATTTTCCAAATTTTCCAAATTTTCTGGATTTTCTGAATTTTCTGGATTTCTGGGTTTTTTGGATTTATTTTAATTTGTTGAATTTTTCTAATTTTTCGATTTTTGGATTTTCCGTATTTGCTACATTTTCTTATTTTTTTCAATTTTTTTTATTTTGTTGGCTTTTTTAAATTTTTCAGATTTTTTTTTTGATTTTTTGATGTTTTCATTTAGATTTTCTGCAATTCTTGAATTTTCTGGACTTTCTAGATTTTCCAGATTTTTTGGATTTTCTAGATTTTCAAGATTTTGCACATTTTCTATATTTTCCAGATTTCCTAAATTTTCCAGATGTTTCAGTTTTGACAGATTTTCAAAGTTTTCCGGATGTTCCAGATTTTTAAAATTTTCTGTTTTTTCAAGATTTTCCAAATTTGACAGATTTGCCAGATTCCTTGGATTATCTGAATATTCCAGATTTTCCAGATTTGCCAGATTTTCTGGATTTTCCAAATTTTCTAAATTTTCCAAATTTTCTGGATTTTCCAGATTTTTTAGAGTTTCCATGTTTTCTGGATTTTCTGAATTTTCTGGATTTCTGTATTTTTTGGATTTTCTTTAATTTGGTGAATTTTTCTAATTTTTCGATTTTTGGATTTTCCGTATTTGGTAGATTTTCTTATTTTTTTCGATTTTTTTTTATTTAGTTCGCTTTTTTAAAGTTTTTCAGATTTTCTGTACTTTCCAGATTTCCTAAATTTTCCAGATGTTTCAGATTTGACAGATTTTCAGTTTTCCGGATTTTCCAGAATTTTCAGGTTTTCTGTATTTTCCAGATTTTTCAGATTGGCCAGATTTTTTAAATTTTCTGGATTTTCTGAATTTTTTGGGATTTCTTCGATTTTTTTGAATTTTCTGGTTTTTCAAAATTTTCCAGATTGGCAGATTCCCTAGATTATCTGGATACTCCAGATTTTCCAGATTTGCCAAATTTTCTGAATTTTCTGAATTAAAATTTTTTTTTTAATTTGTTGAATTTTTCTAATTTTTCGATATTTGAATTTTCCGTATTTTCTAGATTTTCTTAATTTTTTCGAATTTTTTTATTTTGTTGGCTTTTGTAAAATTTTTCAGAATTTTTTTGGTTTTTTGATTTTTTCATTTGGATTTTTTACAATTTTTGAATTTTCTGGACTTTCTAGATTTACCAGATTTTACAAATTGTCTGTATTTTCCAGATTTCCCAAATTTTCAAGATGTTTCAGATTTGCCAGATTTTTTAAATTTTCTGGATTTTCTAATTTTCTGGGTTTCCTAGATTTTCTGAATTTGCTGGATTTCTAGATTTTCTAGATGTTTCTGTATTTCCTGAATTTGCTGGATTTCTGGATTTTCTGGATTTTCCACGTTTTTCAGATTTTCTGTATTTTTCTGATTTTCCAGATATTCCGGATTTTCTGGATTTTCTGTGGTTTTCGATTTTGTTGGATTTTTTGGATTATTTAAATTTTTTCGATTGTTTCGATTTTTTGATTTTTTTTAGATTTTTTGATTTTTTTGGATTTTTTGATTTTTTTGGATTTTTTTATTTTTTTGGATTTTGTGTTTTTTTTGGAATTCTTGATTTTTTTGGATTCGTTAGAATTTTCCAAATTTTCCAGATTTTCTGGATTTTCTGGATCCTCTGAATATTCCATATTTTACAGATTTTTCAGATTCTCTGATTTTCCAAATTTTCTGGATTTTCTGAATTTCCTGAATTTTTTGATTTTCTGGATTTTCCAGATTTTCCAGATTTTCTGGATTTTCTGGATCCTCTGAGTATTCCATATTTTACAGATTTTTCAGATTTTCTGAATTTCCATATTTTCTGGATTTCCTAAATTTCCTGAATTTTCCAAATTGTCCAGATTTTCTGAATCTTCTGAATTTTCCACATTTTCCAGATTTTTCAGAGTTTCTGAATTTCCAAATTTTCTGGATTTTCTGAATTTCCTGAATTTTCCAAATTGTCCAGATTTTCCGAATTTTCTAGATTTTTCAAATATCCCCGATTTTGGGGATTTTCCAAATTGTGTGGATTTTCCAGATTCTGTAGATTTTTCTAATTTTCTGGATTTTCTCGATCTTCTGAATTTTCCACATTTTCCAGATTTTCTGATTTTTAAAGTTTTCTGGATTTTCCAGATTTTCGGTATTTTCCAGATTTTCTGGATTTTCCAGATTTTCTGGGTTTTCTAGATTTTTTTAATATGCTGCATTCCTAGATTTTCTGGATTCCAGGATTATCTGGATTTTCAGAATTTTCTGGGTTTTTCATATTTTTCAGATTTTCCAGATTTTCTGGATTTTCCAAATTTTTCAGATTTTCTGCATTTTTCAAATTTTCCAGATTTTCCGGATTTTTTGTGGTTTTTCGATTTTTTGGATTTTTTGGATTTCTCGCATTTATTAAAATTTTTTCGATTCTTTCGGTTTTTTGATTTTTTTTTGGATTTTTTGTTTTTTTCGAATTTAAATTTTTTTTTGGTTTTTGGAATATTTTGGGTTTGATTAAATTTTTTGGATTTGTTTGGATGTTATGGATTTTCCAAATTTTCCAGATTTTCTGGATTTTCTAGATTCATTAGATTTTCCAAATTTTCTGGTTTTCTGCATTTTCTGAATTTCCTGAATTTTTGGACTTTCTGGATTTTCCAGATTTTCTGAATCTTCTGAATTTTCCATTTTCCAGATTTTCTGATTTTCCAGATTTTCCAGATTTTCTGAATCTTCTGAATTTTCCACATTTTCCAGATTTTTCTGATTTTCTGAAATTCCAAATTTTCTGGATTTTCAGAATTTCCCGAATTTTTGGATTTTCTGGATTTTCCAGATATTCCGGATCTTCTGGATTTTCTAGGTTTTCCCTTTTTTTTTGGATTTTTTGTTTTTTTTTAATTTTTGATTTTCTTTAGATTTTTGGAATATTTTGGATTCGATTAAATTTTTTGGATTTGTTTAGATTTTCTGGATTTGTTTGTAGTTTGAAAGAATCTCAGGAAGCCTTTATGTGTGGATTTTGAAGTAGTTTGAAAGAATCCCGGGTAAACTTTGTCTCTGGTTTTTGAAGTATTAGCTTGAAAGAATCCTAAGGATCTTTATTTTGTTTTAGAACTAATTTGAAGGAATCTCGGGAACCCTTTGTGTTTGGTTTTTGAAAAAGTTTTGAAAGAATCTCAGGGATCCCTGTCGTGTTTTTGAAGTAATTTGAAAGAATCTTCTGGTTTTTGAAGTAGTTTTGAAAGAATCTCGGGACCACTTTGGTTTCGGTTTTGAATTAGGTTGAAAGAATCTCGGGAACCTTATCTCTGGTTTTTGAAGTAGTTTAAAAGAATCTTAGGGATCGTTTGTCTTGTTTTTGAAGTATTTTGAAAAAATCTCGGGGACCCATTGTATCTAGTCTTTAAAGTACTCAGTTTGAAAGAACCTCGAGGCTTTGTTTTCGAAGTAGTTTCGCAGATTGGGCACCTTTTGTGTCATATTTTTGAAGTGGTTTGAATGAATTTCGGGGACCTTTTTCTTGTTTTTGAAATAATTTCAAAGAATCTATCTCGAGCGTCCCTTGTGTCTAGTTTTTGAAAAAGTCTGCAGGAATCTTGAGGACCTCTTTTGTTTAATTTTTGAAGTATTTAGTTTAAAAATATCTTGGGACTCCCTATGTTGTTTTTGAAATAATTTGAAAGAACCTCAGGTACGCGTTGTGTTTCAAAATCTCCAGAGCAACCTCATTTTGAGAAATTTCATTACTTTAGGACAGATCTACATCAGAGAATTGTTTTTTTTTTGGGAAAATTTTGGAAGATTCAAAATTTAAAATGAAATTCGAGGAGACAAAAATAGATTTCTCACAGCGGAAATTGCTTGACGAAAAATCTTCAAGAATAGTCTTTTCTACATTATCTTAATGGTATAGAAACCGTGAAATAAGATTAAAGGGCGAAGAAGAAAAATCCATTTCGTGACTTTTGCCGCCTCGTTATGATGGTTGATGTTACTAGTTGCCTGTCACAAGAGTCAATCGTTCCCTGGATTATCTGGATACTACAGATTTTCCAGATTTGCCAAATTTTCTGGATTTTCTGAATTTAAATTTTTTTTTTAATTTGTTGAATTTTTCTAATTTTTCGATATTTGGATTTTCCGTATTTTCTAGATTTTCTTAATTTTTTCGATTTTTTTATTTTGTTGGCTTTTGTAAAATTTTTCAGATTTTTTTTGGTTTTTTGATTTTTTCATTTTTTACAATTTTGAATTTTCTGGACTTTCTAGATTTTCCAGATTGTATTTTCCAGATTTCCCAAATTTTCAAGATGTTTCAGATATGTCAAATTTTTTAAATTTTCTGGATTTTCTAGATTTTCTGGGTTTCCTAGATTTTCTGAATTTGCTGGATTCCTGGATTATCTGAATTTTCCGAATTTTCTAGGTTTTCAACATTTTTCAGATTTTCTGGATTTTCTAGATGTTTCTGTATTTTCTGAATTTGCTCGATTTCTGGATTTGCTGGATTTTCCAAGTTTTTCAGATTTTCTGTATGTTTCTGATTTTCCAGAGATTCCGGTTTTTCTGAATTTTCTGTGGTTTTCGATTTTGTTGGATTTTTTGATTTTTTTGGATTTTTTGTTTTTTTGGAATTTTTGATTTTCTTGGCTTTGCTAGGATTTTCCAAATTTTCCAGATTTTCTGGATTTTCTGGATCTTCTGAATTTTCCACATTTTCCAGATTTTTCAGATTTTATGATTTTCCAAATTTTCTGGATTTTCTGAATTTCCTGAATTTTTGGATTTTCCAGATTTTCCAGATTTTGTGAATCTTCTGAATTTTTCACATTTTCCAGATTTTTCAGATTTTCTGAATTTCCAAATTTTCTGGATTTTCTGAATTTCATGAATTTTCCAAATTGTCCAGATTTTCTGAGTTTTCTATATTTTTCAAATACGCCCGATTTTGGGGATTTTCCAGATTCTGTGGATTTTCCAGATCCTGTAGATTATCCAGATTTTCAGGATTTTCTGGATCTTCTGAATTTTCCTCATTTTCCAGACTTTCTGATTTTTAAAGTTTTCTGGATTTTCCAGATTTTCTGTATTTTCCAGGTTTTCTGGATTTTCCAGATTTTCTGGGTTTTCTAGATTTTCTGAATATGCTGGATTCCTAGATTTTATGGATTCCAGGATTATCTGGATTTTCAGAATTTTCTGGGTTTTTCAGATTTTTCAGATTTTCTGTATTTTTCAGATATTCTGGTTTCCAGATTTTCTGGATTTTCCAAATTTTTCAGATTTTCTGAATTTTTTGTGGTTTTTCGATTTTTTGGATTTTTTGGATTTCTCGAATTTATTAAAATTTTTTCGATTCTTTCGGTTTTTTGATTTTTTTTTGGATTTTTTGTTTTTTTTGGAATTTAAATTTTTTTTGGTTTTTGGAATATTTTGGGTTTGATTAAATTTTTTGGATTTGTTTGGATGTTATGGATTTTCAAATTTTCCAGATTTTCTGGATTTTCTAGATTCATTAGATTTTCCAAATTTTCTGGTTTTCTGGGTCTTGTGAATTTTCCACATTTTCCAGATTTTTCAGATTTTATGAATTTCCAAATTTTCTGCATTTTCTGAATTTCCTGAATTTTTGGACTTTCTGGATTTTCCAGATTTTCTGAATCTTCTGAATTTTCCATTTTCCAGATTTTCTGATGTGCCAGATTTTCCAGATTTTCTGAATCTTCTGAATTTTCCACATTTTCCAGATTTTTCTGATTTTCTGAAATTCCAAATTTTCTGGATTTTCAGAATTTCCCGAATTTTTGGATTTTCTGGATTTTCCAGATATTCCGGATCTTCTGGATTTTCTAGGTTTTCCCTTTTTTTTTTGGATTTTTTTTTTTAATTTTTGATTTTCTTTAGATTTTTGGAATATTTTGGATTCGATTAAATTTTTTGGATTTGTTTAGATTTTCTGGATTTGTTTGTAGTTTGAAAGAATCTCAGGAAGCCCTTATGTGTGGGTTTTCAAGTAGTTTGAAAGAATCCCGGGTAAACAGAATCTCAGGAGCCCCTTGTGTGTGGTTTTTGAAGCAGTTTGAAAGAATCTCAGGTAAACTTTGTCTCTGGTTTTTGAAGTATTAGCTTGAAAGAATCCTAAGGATCTTTATTTTGTTTTAGAACTAATTTGAAGGAATCTCGGGAACCCTTTGTGTTTGGTTTTTGAAAAAATTTTGAAAGAATCTCGGAAACTCCTTGTCTTTTCTTTTTGAAGTAGTATGAAAAAACCTTGGGGAATATTTGTCTATGGTTTTTGAAGCAATTTGAAAGAATCTCGGGAACCCCTTGTGTCTGGTTTTTCAAGTAGTTTTGAAAGAATCTCGAAACCCCTTTTGTTTCGGTTTTGAATTAGCTTGAAAGAATCTCGGGAACCTTGTCTCTGGTTTTTGAAGTAGTTTTTAAAAGAATCTTAGGGATCCCTTATTTCGTTTTAGAAGTAATTTGAAAGAATCTTGGGAACCGCTTTTTTATTTTTTCAAGTATTTTGAAAGAATCCTAGAGATCTTTTGTTGTTGTTTTGTTTTTGAAATTATTTGAAAGAATCTCGGAAACTCCTTGGTTCTGGTTTCTGATATTGTTAGAAGAATTCCATTTAATAAAGAAGAAACATAGAAACTGCGGTCAATAAATACAATTTTCAAAAATATAGAAGTTTCAAAATTTCCAAAGCAACCTCATTTTGAGAAATTTCATTAATTTAAGGCAGGTCGACATTAGATTTTTTTTGGGGAAAATTTTGGAAGATTCAAAATTTATAATGAAATTCGAGAAGACAAAAATAGATAACAACATTTGGACCTCAGAGTGGAAGTTGTTGTTCTTCAAGAATATTCTTTTCCCGATTATCTTAATGGTGTAGAAAGATTAAAGAGTCAAGAAGGAAAATCGCAAGAGTCATCATAACCTAACTTTCGTAACCTTTTTTCTGTGCTAACTAGGCAACCAATAATTCATCTCTAATAATGGATTCTTATAAAAAGTACAATGACAGATTTTCCAAAAGCCGTGATGTCTTGTCTTTGAAGTAGGTAATTCAAATGATTTTCGGTGATCGTTATTGTTTCTGAAGTAATTAGTAAAAATATGTAGGTATATTTGTCAAATAAATGTAAGTCCTGGTTAAAAAAAAACTTAGAAAATATGAAACTGTGAGCATATATGAGTTGTGAGATATTAATGAGTTCCTTGAGAGCACAAAACACACAAAATAATTATTATTAGCCAATTATCACTAACACAATACCGTTAAATAATTACTAATTTCTTACCCGCGGATACAGGAACTGACGTTATCAACCCCAACGTGATGAACAAGTCGTAGGTGAGGGCAATACCAAAGTTGGTCAATAAATTGGCAACTGAAATAAAAAAAAATACACTACTAAAAAATAAACGAAACAAAGCCTTGGCCGTTCCATAGAACATCACAAAGATTTAATTAAAACCTAATTCAACCCAAATTACTTGTGCGAGAAAGCGGGGTATGAAACGAAATTGCGATATTTTATTTAAAAGTTCATTAAGTATAGTCGCATTGTCAAAGCACTCAAAGCAAACATGCTTCGACTATACATGAATAAAGTATGTATGCTGCAGTCGTGAAAATTTTCTACTCCGTTGAAAATAATCCACCTAACAAGTATTAATGTTCCTGTTGACTAAGCATCCAGCAAATTTCCCCCAACAGCCAACATCAAAGTATACGCATTTCCATTATTTGCATATCTTCGCTAAATGGCAGGAAAGCCCATAAACGAGCCGAAAACATACAGGACTCTTAAAGAGAAGGAACAAAGCGCTAGCGAAAAGCCACGACTCGGATGATAAATGATTATTAGAGCCGTCATCTCAAAGGTCGACTACGGCTCCCTCGGTTGCTATTCTTTCTTCAAATTTATTCCGCAATTTCCTACATTCGCCGAATTCTTGCATTATAAATTGAGCCATGTTTCATAAAACGAACGCACAAAGCAAAAAAAATCGTTCAGTCTTTCGTTATTAGCCCAGAACAGTACTTCCAGCATAATTTTTACTGAGTGCTTGCATTCCCTGTTCACCCCTTAACGCAACTTCCCTTTCACGCCAGTATTACGTCTTCCGCTGGAGGAAAGCAGAAAGGATGGCTGGAAGGGGCTTTTCGCTGTTTAAAATGAGCGAACGCTTCGCCTAAGACCCAGTTTTTTACTTAAATGGTGAATTTTTGACGAATAAAAACTTGAGTCTGAATCTCATTTAAATTTAATTTCATAAATAAAACTAAATTGACTCGCTTACCTAGAAAAAGAGAGCTGGCGGTGAGCAACGCAGGCCAGGGTAGTTTGTCCCAGTGCATGCTTTCCACCCCCGTTAGAAACAACCCCAAGCTCAGCGGCCAGAGTAATGCGGCGTTGACCATTCCTATGAGGGAGAAGAAGAAAGATACTTGTCCGAAGGTGGCGTCGCCGATCACTTTCTTGAACAGGACTTTGTAAACCGCCGACGCTGCTGCCGAAGATGTTGCCAGCACGACGCCGCCTAAAGTGGGGCTTCCGGTGATTCCATCCATGTAAGCTAGGAGGGCTACTCCTGTATCGCAAATAATCACAGCCATTATCTGCAAGAAATACGATATAATGGGGTTGTGGATGGCACCTCTGGGAGAAGAAAAAGAGCGAACATTTGTCAAGAAGATGATAAAATGTCGGTGTTGCTGGCAGAATTCTAAATGGCGGAGGGAGGAGGCTGTAGTTTTAGTCTAATGGTTATATTTTTATACCGTACGGTTGTATTGTATAACGACCTTTTACAATTTAATTTTGAAATCTTGCAAACGTTTTAAGATTAATTAAAATTTATAAAAGTGACATAGTCCGGAAATTGTGGTTTATGAATTCGTGTTAAATTTTTAATCTAGGCATCGAGAATTTGAGAAAAAAAAAAATAAAATTGTAGATATTTATATATACAATTTTATATATCGACAATTTTTCCATTTCTCAATTTTTCAAATTTTTTATTTTTCATCTTTTCGATTTCTCGATTTTTTCAATTTTTCAATTTCTGTAATTTCCCGATTAATCGAGTTTTTGGTTTTTTTTACTTTTCGACTTTCCGACTTCCCGATTTTCCGATTTTTTAGTTTTTCAATTATTCAAGTTTATGATTTTCAAGTTTTTCCATTTCTCAATTTACCGATCTTTGAGTTTTGGGATTTTTCAATACATATTTTGATTCTTTGACATTTCGACTTTTCGATTTTTCGATTTCTCAATGCCTCGATTAATCGAGATTTTGGTTTTTTGACTTTTCGATTTCTCGACTTCTCGATTTTTCAGTTTTTCAACCCTTCAAGTTTTCGATTGTTCAATTTTTTTATTTTTCGATTTTTCGATTTTTATAATTTTCAATTTTTGGATTTCGATTCTTCCATTGTATTTCGATTCTCCAATTTTTGATATCAATTTTGGGATTTTTCAATATTTCAATTCCTAGATTTTTCGACTTTTTGTTTTTTCGATTTTTCAGTTTTTTAATTTGTAAATTTTAGATCGTTTTTTTTTATTTTTCCGATTTTTTTGATCTTTAGATCTCTGAATTTTTCAATTTTTTGATTCTTCAATTTTTCTTCGACTTTTCAATTTTTCGATATTCGCTTTTGGGTTTTTTTAACCTTTCGATTCTTCCGTTCTGCAATGTTTCTATTTTTCAATTTTTTGATGTTACGATTTCTCGATACTTTCGATTTTTCGACTTCTCAATTTTAGATTTTTCGGTTTTTCAATTTTCTGATTTTTACAATTCTTCATTCTTACATTCTTTAGTTTTTTGAATTTTAAATTTCTGGATTTTTCAGTTTTCGATTTTTCGATTTTGGGAAATTTCGATTTCTCGATTTTTTGATGTCTCGAATTTTCGATGTTGAAGTTCTCGATTTTTTGACGTTTCGTTACCTAATGTTTTGGTTTTTCAATTTTTCGAAGTTTCAATTTTAGGATTTTCAGTTGTTTGATTTTTCAATATTTTGATTTTTCAGTTTTTCAATTCTTCAATTTTTCGATTTTTTGACTTTTCAGTTTCTTTCCCATTTTTCAATTGTTTTTCGATTTTTCAATTTTTCGATGTCAGTTCTAGGATTTTTCAATATTTCAATTCTTAGATATTTCAAATTTTATATTTTTCGATTTTTCAGTTTTTTAATTTGTAAATTTTAAATCGTATTTTTTTTATTTTTTCGAGTGTTTTGATGTTTAGATTCCTCGATTTTTAAATTTTTTTCGTTCTTCAATTCTTTTTCGATTTTTCACTTTTTCGATATTTCGCTTTTGGGATTTTTCACTATTTCCATTCTTGGCTTTTTCGATTTCCCGATTTTTTAGTTTGTTTCAGTTTTGGGATTTTTTTCAATATTTTGATTCTTTGATATTTGGACTTTTGGATTTTTACATTTTTCATTTTTTCAATCCTTCAATTTTTCATTTTTTCGACTTTTCAGTTTTTTTCGATTCTTCAATTGTTCTTCGATTTTTCAATTTTTCGATGTCAATTTTGGGATTTTTCAATATTTGGATTCGTGGTTTTTCCAATTTTCAATTTTTCAGTTTTGGTTTTTCGATTGCTCGTTTTTTCGATTTATCGAATATTTTTTTGTTAAAAATCTTTTAATATTTCAATTTTTGAATTTTTCAATTTGTCTATTTTTCGGTTTTTTGGTTTCTCGATTTTTCGATTTCTCGATTTCTCGATCTTGTGATGTCTCGATGTTTCAGTTTTCAAATTTTTCGATATTTCCACTTTCGATGTTCCGATTTTCAATTTTATCCAATTTTCCAATTTTTCGTCATTTTAGCTTTGGAAGTTTTCCATTGCTCGATTTTTCAGTTTTTCGACTTTTTGACTTTTTGATTGCCGATTTATCGAATTATCGATTTTTCGATTTTGCAGTTCTTCGAAATTTCTACTTTTCAATTTTTCCAATTTAAAAAGTTTCGACTTTCCGATTTTTGGATTTTTTATTTTTCGATTTTCGAATTTTTCAATTTTTTGGTGTTTCAATTGCCCGATCTTTTGATTTTTCGGACTGCGATGTTTCAGTATTTCAATTTTTTAATTTTTAAATTTTCGATTTTTCAGTTTTTAGTTTTTTCTATTTTTTTCGATATTTTAATTTTATCAATTTTTAAAATCTTAGATTTATCTATCATTTTCGATTCTTCGATTTTGCAGTTCTTCGAAATTTCAAATTTTCAATTTTTCGAATTTCTAACTTTATTTTTTTTTTCAATTTTGCGATTTTTAAACTTTTTCACTTTTCAATTTCTGGATTCATTTTTTCGATCTTTTAATTTTTCGATTTTTTGATATTTCCATTTTTCGGATTTCGATTTCTCCGCGTTCCAATTTTTTTAATTTTAAATTTCGATTATTCAGTTTTTCGATTTTTCAATTTTTTTTCGATATTTTGATTTTTCAATTTTTAAAATCTTAGATTTTTCTGTTTCTCGATTTCCCGATTTATTGATTTATCGATTTCTCGATTTTGGAGTTTTTCGAAATTTTTATTTTTAAATTTTTTTATTTTTAAATTCTTAATTTTTCAATTTTACGATTTTTAAACTTTTTTGACTTTTCGATTCCTGGATTTTCAATTTTTCAATATTTTGATGTTTCGACTTTTCGGATTTCGATTTTTCCGCGTTACAATTTTTTTATTTTTAAATTTTCGATTTTTCAGTTCCTCGATTTTTCAAATTTTTTCGATATTTGAATTTTTCGATTTTTTGGTGTTTCAATTGCTTGATCGTTCGATTTTTCGGATTTCGATATTTCCGCATTCCAATTTTTTTAATATTAATTTTTCGATTTTTCAGTGTTTCGATTTTTCAAAATTTTTTGTCGATATTTTAGTTTTTCAATTTTTAAAATCTTAGATTTTTCCATTTCTCGATTTCCCGATATATCGCTTTCCCGATTTTTCGATTTTTCAGTATTTCGAAGTTTCTATTTTTCAATTTTTCGAATTTGTGAATTTTTAATTTTTCAATTTTGCGATTTTTAAACTTTTTTGACATTTTAATTTTTCGGATTTTCCGTTTTCCGTTTTGCGATTTTTAAACTTTTTTGACATTTCGATTTTTCGGATTTTCCGTTCTCAGTGTCTCAATTTTTTTATTTTTAAATTTTCGATTTTTCAGTTTTTCGATTTTTCAAAATTTTTTGTCGATATTTTAGTTTTTCAATTTTTAAAATATGTATTAGATTTTTCGATTTTGCAGTTGTTTTCTACTTTTCAATTTTTCGAATTTTGAAATTTTTAATCTTTCAATTTTTCGATTTTCAAAATTTTTCGGCTTACCTATTTTTGGATTTTTCATTTTTCGATATTTGAATTTTTCAATTGCTCGATCCCTCGATTTTTAAATTTTCGATTTTTCAGTTTTTTCTTTCATTTTTTTTCGATATTTTAGTTTTTCAAGTTTTACAATCTTAGATTTTTCGATTTCTCGATTTCTCGATTTTTCAGTTTTGCGATTTTTAAACTTTTTTGACGTTTCGATTTCTGGATTTTGCAATCTTTCGATTTTTTGATGTTTCGATGCTCGATCTTTCGATTTTTCGGATTTCGATTTTTCTCGGGCTCAATTTTTTGATTTTTAAATTTTCGAATTTTCAGTTTTTCGATTTTTTCAAGTTTTTTTCGATATTTAAATTTTTCAATTTTTAAAATCTTATAGGTTTTTAAACTTTTTTGCCTTTTCGATTTTTGGAATTTTCGATTGCTCGATCTTTCAGTTTTTCGTATTTCCCGTTTTCCGTGTCTCAGTTTTTTTATTTTTAAATTTTCGAGTTTTCAGTTTTTCGATTTTTCCAAATTTTTATCGATATTTTAGTTTTTCAATTTTTAAAATCTTAGATTTTTCGATTTTGCAGTTCTTCGAAGTTTCTACTTTTCAATTTTTCGAATTTTGAAAATTTTAATCTTCCAATTTTTCGATTTTCAAAATTTTTCGACTTTCCGATTTCTGGATTTTTCATTTTTCGACATTTGAATTTTTCGATTGTTTGGTGTTTCAGTTGCTCGATCATTCGATTTTTCAGATTTCGATTTTTTCGTGTTTCAATTTTTTTATTTTTAAATTTTCGATGGTTCAGTTTTTCGATTTTTCCAAATTTTTTGTCGATATTTTAGTTTTTCAATTTTTAAAGCCTTAGATTTTTCGATTTTGCTGTTCCTCGAAGTTTCTACTTTTCAATTTTTCGAATTTTGAAAATTTCAATCTTCCAATTTTTCGATTTTCAAAATTTTTCGACTTTCCGATTTTTGGATTTTTCATTTTTCGATATTTGAATTTTTCGATTGTTTGGTGTTTCAATTGCTCGATCCTTCGATTTTAAAATTTTCGATTTTTCAGTTTTTCAATTTTTTTTTGATATTTTGGTTTTTCAATTTTTACAATCTTAGATTTTACGATTTCTCGATTTCTCGATGAATCGATTTCCCGATTTTTCGATTTTGCAGTTCTTCGGAATTTCTATTTTCAATTTTTCGAATTTTTGAATTTTTAATTTTTCAATTTTTCGATTTTTAAACTTTTTCGATTTTTTTATTTATGGATTTTTCAATTTTCCGATTTTTTGATGTTTCGATTGTTCGATATTTCGATTTTTCGAATTTCGATTTTTCGAATTTCGATTTTTCCGTGTCTCAATTTTTTTAGTTTTAAATTTTCGATTTTTGAGTTTTTCGATTTTTCAATTTTTTTCGATATATTAGTTTTTCAATTTTTTAAATCCTAGGTTTTTAAAATTTTTTGACTTTTCGATTTTTGGATTTTTCAATTTTTCAATTTTTCGATTTTTTGATGTATCGAATGCTCGATTCTTCAATTTTTCGGATTTCCCGTTTTCCGTGTCTAAATTTTTTTATTTTAAAAATCTTTGATTTTTCAGTTTTTCGATTTTTCCAAATTTTTTGTCGGTATTTTAGTTTTTCAATTTTTAAAATCTTAGATTTTTCGATTTTGCAGTTCTTCGAAATTTCTGTTTTTCAATTTTTCGAATTTTGAAAATTTTAATCTTTCAATTTTTCAATTTTCAAAATTTTACAACTTTGCGATTTTTGAATTTTTCATTTTTCGAAATTTGAATTTTTCGATTGTTTCGTGTTTCAGTTGCTCGATCATTCGATTTTTCAGATTTCGATTTTTTCGTGTTTCAATTTTTATTTTTAAATTTTCGATGCTTCAGTTTTTCGATTTTTCCAAATTTTTTGTCGATATTTTAGTTTTTCAATTTTTAAAGCCTTAGATTTTTCGATTTTGCAGTTCCTCGAAGTTTCTACTTTTCAATTTTTCGAATTTTGAAATTTTTAATCTTCCAATTTTTCGATTTTCGAAATTTTTCGACTTTCCGATTTTTGGATTTTTCATTTTTCGATATTTGAATTTTTCGATTGTTTGGTGTTTCAGTTGCTCGATCCTTTGATTCTTAAATTTTCGATTTTTCAGTTTTTTGATTTTTCAATTTTTTCTTGATATTTTAGTTTTTCAATTTTTAAAATCTTAGATTTTTCGATTTCTCGATTTCTCGAAGTATCGATTTCTCGATTGTTCGATTTTGCGGTTCTTCGGAATTTCTATTTTTCAATTTTTCGAATTTTAAATTTTAATTTTTCAATTTTTCGATTTTTAAACTTTTTCGATTTTTCGAATTCTGGATTTTTCAATTTTTCGATTTTTTGATGCTTTGATTGTTCGATCTTTCGATTTCTCCGTGACTCAATTTTTTTATTTTTAAATTTTCGATTTTTCAGTTTTTCGATTTTTCAATTTTTTTTTCGATATTTTAATTTTTCAATTTTTAAAATCTTAGGTATTTAAACTTTTTTGCCATTTCGATTTTTGGAATTTTCAAGTTTTCGATTTTTCAGTTTTTCAATTTTTTTTCGATATTTTAGTTTTTCAATTTTTAAAATCTTAGATTTTTCGATTTTGCAGTTCTTCGAAGTTTCTACTTTTCAATTTTTCGAATTTTGAAATTTTTAATATTTCGATTTTTCGATTTTTCATTTTTCAATATTTGAATTTTTCGATTGTTTGGTGTTTCAGTTGCTGGATCCTTCGATTTGTCGATTTTGATAATTCCGTGTTTCAATTTTTTTATTTTTAAATTTTCGATTTTTCAATGTTTTGATTTTTCAGATTTTTTTTCCATATTTTAGTTTCTCAATTTTTAAAATCTTAGATTTTTCAGTTCTTCGGAATTTCAATTTTTCAATTTTTCGAATTTTCCGATTTTTAAACTTTTTTGAATTTTCGATTTCTGGATTCAAGAAAACATGTACCATCAACTGTTAACGATAAGAAATTCGACATAAATGTTGAGATCTTAGTTGGCCATGATACACCAAAACTCTTGTCAGAAAATGTAAACAAAACGTGTATACATAATTAGAAAAAACTTGCTCCACCAATTTTTTTTTTCACTTGTTTGTTTACCGATGCGGTTACACAAAGAACTTTCATAACGAGTTATTTTAAGCTCCTTCATTACACACACCTTCCGCTTTAAATAAAAGCCAGAATTAAATTGAATAAAGACTACATTTGCGCAACCCCCTCGCAAAAACTCGTCGCGTGACTTCACCCCATTCCGCAAACCCCCAAGTACGCCGACAAGCAGGCCCGCTCCGAGCTAAGATTAGGTTGTTATTGTTTAGGTACGTAAATTACAACGCAATCATTTTTAATCGCAGAACAGAAAGCGGCAACGCAACTCCAGAACTTGGTCTTTTTAATCCGGAATTCGCGGAACCGGAAGCCGTAAAATTTAGCCAATTCATTGTCCGTAACAAAAGCTCCATCCACTCACCCGGATCCCCACGAACTGCTCGTGCAGAATGACCCACGAGAGGAGGTACACAAAGGACACGTTCGTGGCGAAAAGGGCCATTACGTCCGTGGCCAGAAGGATCCTCAGCGACATGATGTACATGTAGTTGGTTCCGACGAACAGGATGCAGAACAGGCTGCACCTGGTCATGAACCTCCCTGAAAGAAGAAAGTTGGGGGCAGGGCGGCGGCGGTGTTGTGGGGACGCACCTGCGGTGAAACCCTTGTCCCGGTAGCCGCGGATGCTCTCGGAGAAGATGTCGGAGACGGACTTGCACCGCTCGGTGCTGAGGCGGCATAGAAAATAGAGGGGGAAAAAGAGCATGGTCCAGTTGGTGACGAACCATGTGGTAAAAAAGGGGGCTTGATATGATGCGGCCTGGAACAAGAACGATTTGGTTTTTATAATCCGGGAAATGGTCTACAGGGTGTCTCAGAATTATCAAATACGTACATACTGTTTTTGGAGAGCGGTCATGTTAAGTCCGGTGGTGTCGTGCGGTACTAGTACTGGATCATCGTCCATGTCCACTATGGGTCGTCGTAGGTATAGGTATTTGATGCAGTGGGTGGCCCCCACCCACGAAGCTGTCACGCAGACGGTTATCCATATCCCGAAATAAATCTGGAAAAGAAATAAATATTTAAAATATTTATTATTAATTATATTAACTGAGCTTTTATGAGCTTTTTTTGGTAATGAGGCACTGTATAGAATTGGAGTGGAGTCGGGATTCGATTTCGTTAATACATTTCATCCACAACCAATTTATTAACCATAAAATTTTATGAGGTACAAATGAAACGGACCGAGTATACATGCAAATTTTCATTTTTCTCCCTCAAAATGTCAGTTTTAATATTTTTTTACAAAAATGGACAATTAAAAATAATTTCTAAAAAAAGTTCGAATTTTTTTTTTTTAGTTAGTCCGTTGCTAAGTTGAATGGGGACCGTTTTCTGGAACGTTTTTCGAAAGTATTTATGACGAAGAATTGTTTGCCTATGTAGCAGTTTTTTTAGTTTTTTTCATTTTTCCATACAGCTCAAATGCCTTTTGTTTTGGAAAGTGTTTTCCCATTTTCTATGGTAATTTGGAAATTAATTCATTGCGAAAGAGACCGTTTAAAAATTTTGTTAAAAATTTTATTATTGAATTGCATAGATGTCGTGATGGCGATTTCAGATTCGTAATTAGTGGAAGATTATTTGCAATTTCAGACACCAATTCTCAGTCGATTGAAACCATTTTAACAAATTTTTGGAAAAATTTTAAAATTAAAAAGTTATTTTTCACATTTATTTGAAGAGATGTCGTGGTGGAAATTTCGGCTTCATAATTATCAGAAGATTATCTAGAATTTGACACCAATTTTCGGTCGATTGATATAGTTTTAACTAATTTTTTTGAAAATTTTGAAAATTAGAAAGTTATTTTTCACGAATAGATGTGATGTTGGCGATTTCGAATTCGTAATTAGGAGAAGATTATCGACAATTTGGCACCAATTTTCAGTGGATTGAACGAGTTTTAACTAAGTTTTTGGAAAAAATTTTGAAAATTAGAAAATAATTTTTCATATTTATTTAACAGATGGCATGTTGGCGAAGCTGAATTCGTAATTAGCGGAGATTATCTACAATGTGACACCAATTTTCAGTCGATTGAATCAGTTGGAACTAATTTTTTGGAAAAATTTTGAAAATTTAAAAGTCATTTTTCACGTTTATTTGAAGAGATGTCGTGGTGGAAATTTCGGCTTCATAATTATCAGATTATCTAGAATTTGACACCAATTTTCAGTCGATTGATACAGTTTTAAGTAATTTTTTTGAAAATTTTGAAAATTAGAAAGCCATTTTTTACGTTTATTTGAATAGATGTAATGTTGGCAATTTCGAATTCGTAATTAGGAGAAGATTATCGACAATTTGACAGCAATTTTCAGTGGATTGAACGAATTTTAACTAAGTTTTGGACAAAAATTTGAAAATTAAAAAATTATTTTTCACGTTTATTTGAACAGATGGCATGTTGTTGAAGCTGAATTCGTAATTAGCGGAAGATTATCTACAATTTGACACCAATTTTCAGTCGATTGAATCAGTTGTAACTAATTTTTTGGAACATTTTTGAAAATTTAAAAGTCATTTTTCACATTTATTTGAAGAATTGTCGTATTAGAAATTTCGGCTTCATAATTATCAAACGATTATCTAGAATTTGACACCAATTTGCAGTCGATTGATAGTTTTAACTAATTTTTTTGAAAATTTTGAAAATTAGAAAGTCATTTTTCACGAATAAATGTGATGTCGGCAATTTCGAATTCGTGATTAGGAGAAGATTATCTACAATTTGACACCAATTTTCAGTCGATTGAATCAGTTGTAACTCATTTTTTGGAACATTTTTGAAAATTTAAAAGTCATTTTTCACATTTACTTGAAGAATTGTCGTATTGGAAATTTCGGCTTCATAATTATCAAAAGATTATCTAGAATTTGACACCAATTTGCAGTCGATTGATACAGTTTTAACTAATTTTTTTGAAAATTTTGACAATTAAAAAGTCATTTTTCACGTTTATTTGAATAGATGTGATGTTGGCGATTTTGAATTCGTAATTAGGAGATTATCCACAATTTGACACCAATTTTCAGTGGATTGAACGAGTTTTAACCAAGTTTTTTGGACAAAATTTTGAAAATTAGAAAGTAATTTTTCACGTTTATTTGAACAGATGCCATGTTGGCGAAACTAAATATTCGTAATTAGCGCAAGATTATCTACAATTTGATAACAATTTTCAGTCGATTGATAGTTTCAACTAATTAAAAAAAAAAAAAATTGACAATTAAAAAGTCATTTTTCACGTTTATTTGAATAGATGTGATATTGGCGATTTTGAATTCGTAATTAGGAGAAGATTATCTACAATTTGACACCAATATCCAGTGGATTGAACGAGTTTTAACAAAGTTTTTGGAAAAAATTTTGAAAATTAGAAAGTAATTTTTCACATTTATTTGAAGAGATATCGTGGTGGAAATTTCGGCTTCATAATTATCAGAAGATTATCTAGTATTTGAAACCAATTTTCAGTCGATTAATACAGTTTTAACTATTTTTTTTTTGAATATTTTGAAAAGTAGAAAGTCATTTTTCACATTTATTTGAATAGATATGATGTTGGCGAGTTCAAATTCGTAATTAGGAGAAGATTATCTACAATTTGACACCAATCTTCTGTGGATTGAACGAGTTTTAACCAAGTTTTTGGAAACAATTTTGAAAATTAGAAAGTAATTTTTCACATTTATTTGAAGAGATGTCCTGGTGGAAATTTCGGCTTCATAATTATCAGAAGATTATCTAGAATGTCAGTCGATTGATACAGTTATAACTAATTTTTTTGAAAATTTTGAAAATTAAAAAGTCATTTTGCATGTTTATTTGAATACTTAGATGTAATGTTAGCGATTTTGAATTCGTAATTAGGGGAAGATTATCTACAATTTGACACCAATTTCCAGTGGATTGACTCGGTTTTAATAAATTTTTGTGGACAATTTTGAAAATTACAAAGGCGTTTGTCACGTTTATTTGAATATATGTTATGTCGGTGAATTCGAATTCGTAATTAGGAGAAGATTTTCTTCAATTTGACATCAATTTTCAGTCTATTGAACGAGTTTTAACCATTTTTTTGGAAATATTTTGAAAATTGGAATATAAATTTTCCCCACTTTTCACGTTTATTTGACGGGAAATCGTGATTGCGATTCCGGGTTCGTTATTGGCAGAAGATTATCTACAATTTGATATTAATTCTAAGTCGATTGAACCAGTTTTAAGCATTTTTTGGAAAAATTTGGAAAATTAGGAAGTCATTTTTCACGTTTATTTGAACAGTGTCATGATGGCGATTTCGAATTCGTACTTAGGGGAAGATTATCTATACTTTGTCATCAATTTTCAGTTATTGAAAGTTTTAACCATTTTTTTTTGGAAAAATTTTGAAAATTAGAAACTAATTTTTCACATCGATTTGAAGAGAATGTCATGTTGGCGATTTCGAATTCGTATTAAGGGAAAGATTATCTACAATGTGACAATAATTTTCAATCGATTGAACCAGTTTGAACCATTTTTTAGAAAAAATTTGGGAAATCAGAAAGTAATTTTTCTCGTTTGTTTGAATAGATGGGGTGGTGGCAATTACGGATTCGTAGTTATCAGAAAATTTTCTACAATTTGACACCAATTTTCAGTCGATCGAACCAGTTTTAACAATTTTTTTGGAACAATTTTGAAAATTACGAAGTCGTTTTTCACGTTTATTTGAATAGATGTCGTGTTGGTGATTTCGAATTCGTAATTAGGGGAAGATTTTCTACACTTTGACACCAATCTTAAGCCGATTGAACCAGTGTTGACCATATTTTTGGAAACAATTTTGAAAATTAAAAGGTCATTTTTCACGTTTCTTTCAATAGATGTGGTGGTGGCGATTTCGAATTCGTAATTAGGAGAAGAAGTCTACAATTTGACATTAATTTTCGGTCGAGTGAACCAGTTTAAAAAATTTTTGATAACTAGAAAGTAATTTATCACGTTTATTTGAATACATGCAGCGGTGGCCATTTCGAATTCGTATTGAGGGGACACCAGTTTTGAGTCGATTGAACGAGATTTAACAAATGTTTTGAAAACATTTTGAAAAGTAAAAAGTAATTTTTCACGTTTATTTAAATAGATGTCGTGTTGGCGATTTCGACTTCGTAATTGCCAGAAGATTATCTACAATTTGACACCAATTCCCAGTGGATTGAACCAGTTTTAACCATTTTTTTTGAAAAAATTTTGAAAATTGGAAGTCATTTTTCGCTTTTGTTTGAATAGATACCGTATTGCCGATTTCGAATTCGTAATTAGGAGAAGATTAGCTACTGTTCAGCACGAATTTTCAGTTGATTGACCAGTTTTAACAATTTTTTGGAAAAATTTTGAAAATCTGAACGTCATTTTTCACGTTTATTTGAATAGACGGGTGATGGCGATTACGGATTCGTAATTATGATAAGATTTGCTACAATTTGGCACCAATTTTCAGTTGAATGAACCATTTTTAAACATTTTTTTGAAAAAATTTTGAAAATTAGAAAGTCGGTTTTCATGTTTATTTGAATAAATGTCATGTTGGCGATTTGGAATTCGTAATTACGGGAAAAGTTATCTACAATTTGACAGTCGATGGAACCAGATTTAACCATTTTCTTGAAAAATTTTGAAAATTAGAAAGAAAGTTTTCATGTTTATTTGAAATTAGGGGAAGATTATTTACAATTCGACACTAATTTTTCGGCGATTGAACCTAGCCATTTTTTTGAAAAAAATTCCAAAATTAGAAAGTCAGTTTTAATGTTTTTTGATTACATGTCATGTTGGCGATTTCGACTTCGTAATTAATGGAAGATTATCTATAATTTGAAACCAATTTTCAGTGGATTGAATCAGTTTTAACAAATTTTTTGGGAAAATTTTCAAAATTAAAGTCGCGTTTATTTGAATAAGTGTCATGTTGACACTAATCTTCAAGTGATGGAACCAGTTTTAACCAT